CTTTCCTCACGGTACCAAATTTCGTTCTTATTTGTGGCAGGCTGGTGTTCCGATGAACCCAACCACTCTACTATCTGGCTTTTTGACCATATGGTTGAAGAAGTGTGTTGTTCCCCACCAACCCTCCGATGCTATACCGATTGAAGTGTTATATCCGGCCGCTCAATTGGCCATAGGTCGTAGGTTGTCCTTGCTTCCTGCAATGGTAGCTAATATCCACAGTGGATTACGACAATTGGCTCTCGTGTTCACTCAAGAGGGGAAGAAGCCCTCCGCTGGGATATCCGTACCGAAGCTGGAATTACTATACACTTATTTAATGACCTGGTTGGTACTTCACCGGCCAGATTTGATGCAAGCCCCTGAGACGGTGGATCCAAGCCTTCCCCTTCTGCAGACTCTTGAAGGTTGTAAGTGGGTCAAACATCGGTGGCTAGATATATCTAGGCAGTTTAAAGTTCACAAATGTTGGGAGTTCTTTCCCTGCTTCCCTCGATTCTCCGGTACGTACAATACGACCTTATTGGATGCTGAAGAACCAAGGCAGAACCGCACGATTTTAGATGTCAGCTGCTTCAGATGGCTGATGAATATCCGACCTGGTTATCTGGTATTTAGGGTGAAGGATGTCTGTCATATCGAGCCTTACTTTTCGTGCCGGTTTGCTCGTCAATTCGACAATATGACTTTATTGGATACTGAAGAACCAAGGCAGAACCGCACGATTTTAGATGTCAGCTGCTTCAGATGGCTGATGAATATCCGACCTGGTTATCTGGTATTTAGGGTGAAGGATGTCTGTCATATCGAGCCTTACTTTTCGTGCCGGTTTGCTCGTCAATTCGGCTATGATCAACTGTATGTCGGCAACCTGAACCATCAACTTAGAGTTTGAGGTGGACTTATAGATGGGGCAAGAGCCTGGTTTTGTAGCATCGTCGGTAACACGAATGCTGAGTTTGATCTCCCTTTGGAGACGCCTCCTCTACAGATGACCTTCCTTTACTGTAAGTGGTTGATAGCTGCCAATGCTGTCACTCGAAAGAGGAGGATATCTGAATTAGAGGAAGAAATAGCCTCTCGGCGTGCAACAGAAATAGTCCATGAAACTGTGCTCTCAAATAGAGGGAAAGAAGCCGCCGAGTCTTCCAGAAAGGGGAAAGAATCTGCCCGTCCAGCTGATAGTGAAGAAGAGTTTGGGACTGATGAGACCGAAACTTCCGAGGGGTGTCACGCCTCGCTTCCCAAAATACCGAGGAATCGGAGCGTGAACAAGCCCGCGACGTATTAGATTGAGAAGAAATATATATACTATCATTTTTTTTTTCTTTTCTTCTCAATCCAATACGCTAAGCGTCAAATATACAAATCTCAATCACAGGTCCCCGATCACAATTGTAATAATATAAAGATAACCCAGAATAAAAAATAAACATATCATCAATAGATCATCCTACTCATAAAATATGGTTCAACATACCCTTACTACAACAACAGTTCAACTAAAAAAATAAGAAATACATAGTCCATAATAAAAGGAAATACTAACAATATAACCCAAACCGACACCAACTAAAGAAAATACTATAAGAGTTCTAGTGTATATCAGCTGCTACAGAAAAGAAAAATACGTCTAGGCTTCAGTTTGTTCCTCCACTCCATCGGAATGACATTCCGGCTGGGCATACGCTGGCTCGGCTACATCATCGAACTGAACCTGTTCGTCTCCTAAGTCTGACGCACACCAGAGAAAAACAGGTGTACGTCAGCGTGTATGGCACACGACAAGATCTCACATGAACAAATAAAATGGTCATATGACCCATGCTATGACAGTAATAATACTAATATAAAGGACAATAGTACATGCAACTGGAAATCTAATGATAACATACAGCTGTGTGGAAACGATAACTGGGTCAAATACTAATCATCCTAAGACTCACTGGTCCATCTCTCAAATAGGTCCAAGTTCGCATTATCGGAAGACTGACTGTTCACCAGCCCCTACGCGTATCCAATCCCGCAAAATAGGCGGCTAGAGGACTACACGCAATCCGATCTCGGCCCGGTCCGGACTCAGGCAAAGCTCAGGTGACGAAACAGGTCACGGATCCAAGTGGCGAAATAGGTCACTTGGTCCATCAAACCAACCCCAGGATGAAACAGGTCTCTGGTGCGGCCTAGAAGTTAAGTCAACAATCACATTCGATCATGCGAACTAAGACTTTCCCAACCCAACTCTTTTCGTTTTTTTTCTCAGTCAACCATAATCTTCACTAAAACTCGGGTTTACCACCTAACTCAGTCAACGCACTCATACATGTCACTAAGTCTGTTCATGACGCACGATGCTACTAAGTCATGAACCACTAAGGTTCTCAACACATCAACAGATCATGAATATAGTATAGTATGTTAAACATGATTACACAGGTTTATGTAGCAGAAATGAGAACTATAATGAACATGAAATACATAAACAAAATACTATGGCATGAATGTAACACATGAGTAGACTTTATTATTATCTTACCGCTGGATGTTCGAATTTCTCATACAAATTATCCGTACTTACGTATTCTCTAATATAATAATACAGTAAAAAGAAATCTAGAAACCGATATCGTTTCGTACATGAAATGTCGCGCTCTACGACGAACAGCCATACTATCATAAATAATAATATTCTTTTTCCAAAAAATTATTCTTTAAAACTATTTCTCATTATAAGTAATTTAAAATAAAAAAAAGATTTATATAATATAACATAAAAATTCCTTTCTGCATGAAAAGTAATATTCTTCTATTTTATAAATTTCCTTAACTAATTTCTTTTCGATAAAAAAATTTCATAAATTCTAATTTAGCACATAACTGGTCATTTCATGTCAGGAATTCTTAAAAATGCAATTAACAACATTATTAATCTAATTTTCACGGTGCGCTCGCAGTCTTCATTCCACGCAGATATTCAAAAATACGTATTAACCACAATAACAATTTAGACATATTAAATCATCATACTAACAACAATATTACCACAAAATAATTTATCTATATCTAATCATCATAATAACACGATATTAATCATTAATTAAAAGCAAGATGGATGCGAGATCTAGCCTACGAGACCGAGGGGCCTGATGACGAGACGGCGACACCGCTGCAAATGGTTTTGGACTGAGGGGGCAGCATTTGTGAGCTCCAGGTGTGGCGACAACGAAGCGACGTTTCTGCTAGTGGTGTTCGAGGAGGGATGGGCAGTCGGCGAGCTGGGGCTGGAGCTCGGAATGGCGACGTATGCAGCAAGCGGAGGAGGAGACGGGGGAGAGCAGAGCTCTGTTGGCATGGTGACGACGAGGGCTGAGCAGACGGGTAGGGAAGCTTGACGGTGACGGAAGCGGAGCAGGAGGGCAGCAGGGGTTCGGGCGGTGACAGGGACTCGACGGGGAGATCGGCGCTGGGCTTGGCGCGGAGACGACGACGAGGCGAGGTCAGAGGCAGAACTAACGACAGTGAGCTGTGCTGGTAAGCTAATGGAAAATGAGAGACAGACAAGCTTGGAGAGAGGTGGCTTGACCGAGCTGAGCTTGAGCGGCGGCTTGGAGAGGCGAGCTCGGAGTGGATTCTGGGTTGGCAAGAGAGGGAAGCGTGCTGGAGTCCGAGGGAGGTAGTTCGGGCAGGCGGTGGTTTGAGGCTGAACGGTGGGGTTCGGCTTGGGGCACTGGTCCGTCGGAGTTCGGGCAGCCAAGGGCTGGGGGCGAGCTCAGGCGAGAGCGTGGTGGGGAGCTGAGGTGGCGCGCTGGGAGTGTTGGTGGCTGTAGGCACGGTGAAGGCGGACAGGGCGACGGGGCCGAGCTAGGCGGCAGTGAGTTCGAGCGGGCTGAGGAGGTGTTGGGCTAGTCGAAAATGGAGCTTGGGTTCGGCAGTTGCTCGTTGAGGCGGAGCTCGCGGCGACGAACTCAGGCGGCGATGTGGCTGTTGTTGTCGTGGCCGGAGTTGGCAGCGATTGTTCGATGGAGAGCGTAGGGGAGTTCGACTTCGGATTTGGGTTCTTTGAGGAAGGAGGAGGTGGAAGATGATGGTTGTGGAGATGGAGTAGAGGTTCGGGTTTCATGGGGAGAAGAGAGAGAACGAAAGAGAGAAAACGAGAGAGAGAGGAAGAAGGAGATGATGAGCTGGAGAGTGAGAGAGATGAGATGAGGAAAGATTGTGAGAGATTTGGTTGGATTAAAATAAGGAGAGAGAAAATGAGAGTGATTGAGACGTGAGTTGGAGATTTTAATGAGAGAGAATAATATTGAGAGAGAGTGTCAGAGAGAGAGAGAGAGATTGAGTGTGAGATTGAGTGACAGTGAGAGAGAATGAGATCTGAGGGAGATTTTAATGAGAGAGAGAGTACGTGATAGGGTGGTTGGGGGGATGTGGGTTGAGAATTGGGGGAAACACGATGTGGGGAGATTTGCGTGAATTGGGGAGAGTTTTAGGGGGAGAGAGAGATACATAGTGAAATACCGGTGAGAGGAAAAACACAGGAAAAAATACCCTCTTAAATAATTAAAAAATATCATAAAATTTATTCAAAATAAATATTAAAATTTATGGTCAAAATAATAATAACAATAACAATAATGAATAATTAACTATTTATTTAAAATTTTTACCAAAAACAATTAAATTTATAATTAGCAAAACTTATTAAAATAACATAATACCGTATCGTAGAAAATTCTAGAGAAATTAAGAAAAATACAAATACTCTTTTAGAAAAATAATATTTAATATTTAAATACCAGAAAATTATTTAAACCCGTATTAGAAATTTACGGTCATTACATCCTACCCCCCTTAAAACAAATTCCGTCCTCGGAATTAAAACAAGGACGAAATATAAAGACAGATTTATCTCAACTCATATAAAGTTCAAAATATATTGCATATCCATAAATAGAAAAAGTCATACAAGATGTTTCAGAATAAGATACAAGACAAGATAGCTAGGATTCAGGAAATAAATGAGGGTATCGCTGTCGCATCTCAGACTCAGTTTCCCAAGTCGACTCTCCAGGAGAATCTGGGTACCACATTACACGAACAAGCGAAACAATCTTATTCCGGAGGGTCTTCTCCCTTCGGTCTAAAATCGCCACAGGTTGCTTTTCGTATGTCAAACCGGATCGCACCTCAATCTCTGAGAAATCTACGACATCACTCGGATCTCCAAAGTATTTTCGCAACCGAGAAACGTGGAATACGTTATGCACTCCAGCCAGGGCGGGTGGTAATGCAAGTCGGTACGCCACTTCTCCAACTCTCTCTAATACATCAAAAGGTCCCACATATCGCGGACTCAACTTCCCACGCCTTTCAAAGCGAATGGTGCCTCGGTTGGGGGAAATCTTCAGGAACACATGATCTCCGGGCTGAAACTCTAATTTCCGATGCTTCGCATCTGCCCAATGCTTGAATCTGTCCTGTGCTATGCGAAATCGCTCCCGAATGATCCTGACTGCATCAACTGATCTCTCAATCAACTCTGGCCCAAAAATCTCCCGTTCACCAACATCGTCCCAACTCAAAGGAGAGCGGCACTTCCTGCCATACAATGCTGCAAAAGGGGCCATTCCAATACTAGCCTGGAAGCTATTGTTGTATGCAAACTCCACCAAATGCAAGTGATCTTCCCACGACCCGTGAAAGTCAAGCATACAAGCTCTAAGCATATCCTCCAAAATCTGAATGGTCCTCTCTGACTACTCATCGGTCTGGGGATGATAAGCTGTGCTGAAACTGAGACTGGTCCTAAGACTCGCCTGCAAGCTCTTCCAGAACTCTGAGGTAAATCGGGTATCGCGATCCGAAACAATGCACACTGGAACTCCGTGCAATCGTACGATCTCCTACAATACTAGAGATTTACTAACACTCTTGGAAAGGAACTCATCGAATATATAGAGATAGATATTTTACCTCCATGTATCTCTGAGCAAGATGCTCCGTCGACTGTCCCACTCAGAAAGGAATGAAGTGAGCCGATTTGGTTAATCGATCTACGATCACCCAAACAACATCATTCTGTTTAGTGCTCCGAGGTAAGCCAGTGACGAAATCCATGGTGACATGCTGCCACTTTCATTCCGAAATAGGCAACGGCTGCAAAAGACCCGCGATGCGCCGATGCTCTGCCTTCACCTGCTGACATATAAGGCACTTAGCCACACTACGAGCCACATCTCTCTTCATACCACGCCACCAAAAGTTCATCTTCAGATCCTTATACATCTTCGTGCCTCCAGGATGAATAGAATACGGTGAGCTATGAGCTTCCCGTAATATCTCCTCTCGAACATCTCCTTCTGGTACACAGATACGACTCCCAAATCGTAAGGATCCGTCCTCATGAACAACAAATTCCGGCCGAACCCCAGCCACTGCTAGCTCTCTACACTTCTGAAGAAATGGGTCACCTGCTTGAGCTACCTTAATTCGCTCGATCAGTGTCGATTGAATCTGAAGATTCATCAAGGAAGCGGTGACCCCTGGAAGTATAACTTCTATACTCATATCCCTCACTTCCTGCTAAAGTTTCCACTGAGCCGTGAGGGTCATGATTGCCGGCAAACGACTCAAAGCATCTGGTACTACATTGACCTTGCCAGGGTGATACTGAAGATCAATGTCGTAATCAGCCATCAGTTCTAACCATCAGCGTTGCCTCATGTTGAGCTCCTTCTGAGTAAATATGTACTTCAAGCTCTTGTGGACAGTGAACACCTTCACTTGCTCTCCTAACAGATAATGCCTCCAAAGCTTAAGGGCAAAAATCACAGCTGCCAACTCCAAGTCGTGGGTAGGATAATTCTGCTCGTGCTTCTTCAACTGACGAGAAGCATATGCTACCACATGACCATCCT